TATGAACTGCAAGCCTAGCCAGGGAAGCTGTACATTACTTGGACTATATTAGGGCATTTCATTTGGTGTGCTTTAGTGCAGGTAATAGAACTTTCTGCTGAAAATGTTTTGCTTCAGGAATTTTCCTAGCAGCCTAAGAGACTAAGAAACAATTTACTACTTTATCCTGTGCCTCATAATTTTTAGATTCTATTAATAGAAAAGCTCCATGGTCACAATCTTAGCATCTTTTCTAAACTAGTGAACTCAATCCACTTTACAGAAGTCAGCAAACTGATTTTAACAATAGTGCCTTTCTTCTCAGATAGGTAAGATCTTCATGCTTTCAAGAGCCAGATAGACGTGGATCTCCTGTGTTATAAATGGACAAGAAAACAGAAGAGGCTGACATATTTTGCAAGGACCCATTTGCAATACAACTGTCAGTAGGATTTATTCTCCCAATCCTAAAAAGAGAACAGACCAGAAAGTGTTTGCTGTCTTTCATTCCTTCAGCCTCAAATGAAGACACCTGTCTTACAGGAAAGGTACATGTTCCATTCTCAGACACCTTAGAAGACTGTACATTCCTCCTCTGGTGAAAGCCCGTATTCAATACAGGATCTCCAAGGGTGTTTTAATTATTTTAGTTTCATCCTTGTAGTTGAGTACTTTGACTACTAGCTGAATAGTATGAGCACATCAAGAATCACTGAGGAATGCTGCCTATCACCACTCAACACAGCAACATCTCATAGAAGAGAAAATAAAAAGCAGATGTCACTAAGGCATCACTGTGATCCCATCTGTAAATACTATAGGTCAAACTCTTCCAAGTCACAGCTGTGCAACCACTTCCACTTGCATAAAGATACACTGCTATAACAGGGCATTATTTTCCTCATGTTATCTAATGTGCATATATAGCAGCTTTTATCACAACAGTAAAATAAAAGGTGGAGGGTTTGAGGGGTGTAGAGGGTTTGGCATTCAACAGAATTCTCCAAAGCTCCTTTTTGGGAGACATGTTGCAAATTCACTGATACAGGGCTCCCCAGCATTCAACAAGGACAATCTAACTTAAATATACAGCAGTAGTTTAAGCTAAGAATATTGGCACTGTGTCCACAGTAATTTTGGGTGAACTCACAAAAACATACACAGGGGATGTAATGGCTTGAGCTGTAACTCTTCCTTTTTCCTGTTGTTGCTATTATGTGGTTTAGGGAACATCTTTTCAACATTCTTCACATATTCCCCTTCCCATAATCTCCAGAAAGGGGGGTGACATTTAGTCCTCCTAGCATGAAGCTGTGGAACACTCCCACACAGCACCAGTGGAGGAAAATTCCATCTTCTGAGAGCAACCATGAAGCAATGAGAACCAAGGTTACATCACGGCATGCAAGCTGGCATCAAGTCCATCTCATCCTAAAGTTCAGCTCCATGGTCTTCTTCACCTCACCGCTATATAAAATTTTATGGTGGTTGCTCAAATTGAGTGACACAATTATGTGCCTAACAAATCCTCTCCATCTTATTGTTCCCCCTGAGGGAGGACTACATGGACAGTGGAATTTTATCCTCAGATTATCTAAACCAAAAAGGCAAAGTAGAAGAATTTCAATTTCTACTGCACAGAGGTTGAGAAATTCTCAGTTGTTTCTGCCAGATATTCACCAGCTTCTGCTGCCTCTGGCCAAAACTGCTTGACAGAGGCACACAGTTTGGAAGCCCCTGAGAGAATAGGATGTTTCTCAGCTCTTCTTTCCAATTCGCTATCCTCCTCCACATTCCACAAGCAGGATCTATCTCAACAGCTCCCTCCACCGGGTTAAACTAGACCAAGCGACACAGCTGACCAGCATCTTTGACACCAGTGCTACCATACAGGGGTACACAAACCGCCTCACAACAGCACTTCCAGGAGTTTCACAGGAGTCCACAACCTCACACAAGAACGTCTTACCCTGCATACATACACACAGATGTTTGCCCTGATGACATTAGGTGGGAACAGGACAGGGTACAGGAGGTGGCTGCAATCATTCTGTGGAGGGAGCTGCCTACTCCAAAATCTCACTGTAGGGGAGGCCTTCTCTTTGGGCAACACAAAGCAAGAAAGGCTCAGGCTGTAGCCACATGCTCAAATAGCTACTCAAGGCTTGTACAGTGCAGCAATGGCAGCAAAGGGACTGAGGATACCAAGACAAACATTCTCCTCGGGGAGACTGCACTATGGTAAGGGGCCTGAAAGACAGTGGATGGCATAATGAGAAGAAATTATTTAATTCCCAGACAGAATATCAATCTGTATTTTCAAGGCTCCTGTGGGATTCAAGCATTATACCTTTTTCACCTTCTCAGCTTTTTCCCTGTTGCCACCTTGAGTCAATGTTTTCTGAATTACAGCTTGCTAGGGCAGTACAACAGATCACAGATAGTACTGACAGAAGATATACAAGGTTCAGGAGCAACAGGAGACTACACCTATTCAGAACTGCAGTACCCAGGTTCATTCCAGCTCCTGAGAGCAGAGGGAAGGCATGTGTTCCTTTCCTACTAGGCAAAAAAAATTATTTGGAAGTCACCTGGAAAAAAAACACCAACTTAAAAACAGCCTCCATTTAATATGGTCTGCCAGCAAGATTTGTTCCTAGCCTGAGTGCTAAGTTCAAACCAGAACATAACAAATATTGTTGCATTGATTATTTTGGTAGCAAGCACTACTCACTGATGCTGGCAAAAGAAGCTGTTCCTTTAGCAAGTATAAGCTGCCAGTCACAGAGAAACAATTCACTGAAAGCCTACCTGAGAAAACTCAGTCTGCTCTGTCATCAGCAGCACTGTGCAAAGCAGCAACTGAGAGCCAAAGCCCCACACAGTACCCTGACAAACATGCATTGACAAGCCTGCTCCCTAGATCTCAGCTTCAACAGCTCATCCAGACCCCTCCCAAGGTAATTCACCAGTCTTCCTAGCACTGTCAGCTATAAAAAGGCCATGGAGAGGGCTACGTAGTTGCACAGGTGCAGCACATCTCCATGTAATGGAACAGGTGCAAATGAGGAATAGGTTGTTTTCCTACCCTTTCCCCACTAAATCTGTACCATCACTCCATTTGATATGCTATCTAAAAGTATGTGTTTACAAAAAAGTACAACTCTAATTAAATTATGTTAAAAAAGCAAGGCTTCTGCAATGAGGTGAAAAAACCTACACTACTTAAAGAGTATCTCAAGGAATCTCTCAAGGTTAAAATATTTATTGTGAACACAGATAAGACCTACTGATGCAATTTTGTCCCTACATATACTCTAATCAAGTAGATCCTGTGTAAAACCTTTAATCATTTCATGAGCTAATGCCTATCCCCAAGAAAGACACCAAGGGAGGTCAAACAAGCCTTCTGCACTAAAAAAATCAGTTAGCAATGAATATTTCCAAATTTCTTCTTATCATTTTATTAATTCCAACTTATCAAAAAGATTAACTATGAAATCTTTTGCATATCTTGAAACTGAGTTTGATTTAATGTCTACCCTTATAGCCAGATATGACAGTAATACAAATCACTTTCCAAATGCTTTCAGTGTAAAAGTTTAACCTGAAGTCCAGAAAAAAATCCTGATACAATAAACTAATAGAGTAAAAATATAATTTCTGTTAGCACAAGAAATGAGAAATGAGTACATTTTTCTTTCTTTTTTTTTTTTTTTTTTTTTTTTTTTTTCCAGTGAGGAGGAAGTGTCCTTCAGAGTTTTCTTGTTGTCTCAGAAAAGCTGATGCTGGCAAGCACCTTTGTTTTGTAACTGCAAATAGAAGGCATGAAATTTGATCTTTAATCAACATGAGATCAGTTCTTGTGGTCCCACAGCTATTTCTGGCCAGACCTCGCAAGATAATAAAAACTGGTTTCACTAAGGCATTTCTGGGCTGAACATCTGAAGGCAAGTCACATGTCTGCAAGTTACCTGCAACTTGCTTATTCAGTTCAGTCTTCTGAAATCTGAAAACACTGAAAAATGTATCTGATTACTACAAGCACAATAATCTATGGAATCCCTGCACTGCCTGGTGGAAAATTGTACTGCCACATTGGTGTAGGTGGATATGCCTACTCAATCTTGCATGGCTCTGAAAGCCATAGCAGCTTGGGCACTGTGCCATGACAACACAGTTACACTGAGCAATGTGGTCTCCTCCAGCTCAGGACTGTTTGCACAATACTCAGCTCTGCAGTGCAGGAACAGTCACAAAGCATCCATCCTACTTCCTTCACCCATACACGTGTACTCAGACATGCACAGTCAGACATGGACCTGTTCCCTCTGCAGCTTCTGTCTCTGGCAACCTACCCACACTTTCACAAGGTTTATTTGCACTTTTCAGTTTATATGGTGTGGAAAGAAGGGAGAGCATTGTGAAAAACAATATATTCATTTCCTGTTACAGCTTTCTCCAGCTGACACCGAAAGATTTTGTGGATGGGGGAATTTATCTGCTTGCTGGCTAACAATGTCAGATATATCAATGTGATGGTCGACAGACTAGTAACTGCTGTCTTGCAAAATTATTCAATATTAAGTGGGAACCTCCAAAGACCAGTACTCTCCAGACATACTGGGTGATGAGCTGTAAGACTTCTGGACACACATTGCTTCAGCAGTCTGTCTGAGACACTCAGCTGTGCAGATGGTTGCATTTTTCTAGTTTCTTATACTCACATCGTAGGGATTCAATTCCCCAGGTTCTCCCTTCAGTCTGTTGTTATTACTTAGAAGATTACGGGATCCGTAGGTTTGGTGTTGTGCTTATCTTCTTGTTTGTGATTTTCCTTCTCTGAGGGAGTTTTCACTCATGAATAACAAAGGAACTTCAGAATAACAACTGTGATTAAATCAGAAGTTTGTTTTCTCTATTGCCTGTGCAATAGCAGCTTAAAGCTATAAAAGCTGTATTATATAAAGTACAATGCTGCACAATGCCAATTAGAACACATGGTTTACTGGGGTTCTTACAGTACCATCAATCGACACAGCTTCTGTCCTGTAAAACAACAGCTTGTCCTCTGCTTGCCTAATATTGGTTTCTGTCATCTTTTCCATATCAAAAATCTGATTGCCATGATTTTTCTTTGGAAGGATAACTTTGAAGAATATACAGCCATTTTTTAGGGAGCCTCCTGGATTGTAGCACTTCGACATGATGTTGGATCTCCATGAATGGCTGCTGAGAGCATGCCCCTCATAAAGATTTGGCTGCCTGGGCTCAGTGAGGCAGCACAGCTGCTGCAGCCCCCTTCTCCTGGTGTCCCTGGGGAAAGGCTCCCAGACAGTGCTGTGGGGGTACAACCCAGATGGGGCTGTCCCCTGCCCATGGGAGCTGATTTTCAGCTGAACCCTTGGCATTCTGCCTGCTTCACTACTCCCACCACATTGCACTTCACCATGGGCTTTGCTCATCCAGACTCACAACCTGTGGGTGACAATCTCCAGGGAGGTGCTTGGTGCCCCCGACCCCCACCATTGTCCTACTCCTGCCCAGGGGCTGGGATGGGCTCTGGCTATCCATGGGGAGCCCCCACCACTCCCATTCCCTGGTTCTCACAGTGCCTGACACTAATGTAGACTGCTTGCCTATTACATTACATTTTTTTACCATATTAAGATGGTTTTGGCAGTTGCAGTGGTTCAAGTAAAAAGGAATTGGTCCCCCGAGAGGGATGTGTAATGATTTGCTTTGGACTGAGGAAGGGGAATTCATTTTTAATTGAGTAATACGAGGAAAAACTCTTACAAGTGCTAAGTTGTTGGATCCAAATGTATTTAGACTGGCTTATAGGGATGTTTTGACATTGGGTAATTAGGGTAATTAGAGAAGACAGTTGTAAGATTGGACTATTTTGACACTAAAGATTTTTATATGGGTAAGGTCACTGTGACACTAAGATCATGCAAGTGATATAAATGTAAAGGAACTACGCTTACTCAATGAAACAAGCAACCTGAAAAGTAATTTTCTATGTAACAACAAAGATGGCTTTAAAAATACACAAATGAAACAGAGGGGATTTTTCAAAAGCATGTTTGAAGAATGGATCTTTGCAGGCATCCCCCAAATCACATTTTTTAACTTCTACAGAGGATCTTACCTGCCATGCAAAGAAGATTGTGAGTATGAAACAGATGAAAAAAATTCTGAGAAAATAAAATAAAAGCTTTTATAAGAGTTTGTCTTTGATAATAGTTACATAAGGATATTAACTTTTTTACCCATATGTCTGTAGGGGTAAATCTGAAGCTGTCTGTGAACATTTGAGTATGCCTAGTCAGAAACAAAGTAAGTAAAAGTAACAATCAACAACTTAACTTCTCTTATCTATCCTCTTGTCACGCTCAATAATGATTCAACATTTAAATGTCAGTTTTTCCCCCTATGTCAGATGTATTGACACAACAATTAAACAGCATTTATTATGCCTTCCAATGTTTCATTAATAGAGCCTGGTTTTATAGCCTATTTCAAGGCTGAAAAATATTCTGTAAAATCTGCAAAATCTTTGGGTATTTTTGCTACTCTGCATTGAAGCTATGGATTTGTGAAATGAGAGCTTGGCTTTGAAATAAGCCTAATCTTTTATATACACCAAATATTTTATCAGAAATTTAGATTTTCATATTTAAAATTGTAGAGGAACTCTCAAAAGAAGAAAGAGTAACTGGGAAAAAAAAAAAAAAGTAACACTGGGTACTGTTATATTGTCTTCAGTATTGAAATAAGATGCTGTGATTGTTAGCAAGGAGCTAAGTCAGAGAACTAGAAGAGTTTGCAAATCTTGCAGAATACCTTTCATGTTCAAAAAGGTTCACAGAAGTTGATTCAGTTTTTAAACTGTAAAAACTGTTTTAAAACTTTTAAAACTGTATTAGCTCCTGTTTAGCTGTGGCTACTGATAAACCACAAACCCATACACGTAACTACAGTAACCTGTAGTTGCATCCGTGTTACACTACAAATGAAATAACAGCTGCTCCAAGTTCTTTCCAATTAAAAACCCCTTCTACTTAAAAGATTGTTAGATTCCCTGCATTTTTATCTTCAGTCAGGTCTTTTAACAAAACTCCTTTGCACTACCACACACACCTAGAGTACATTATAATGACTACTTTTTCATCTCTTTAAGAACACAAGCATTATAAACCCAGTATTTCAATAAAATCCACAAAGTTTATAGGAAACTTTCAAACAGAAGAGCTGTTTATTAAGAAATGTTCTCTTTTAAAATGCAATATTTCATAGGCAAATTGCCTTTTAAAACCACTTACTAAGAATGTGCCCAAATTCTTCCATTCTTTCCCTCTTTATGCTAATACAGGTTTTTAATCACTTGTAGTTTTGTTCACATAATTCTTATCATAAAAGAAAACATTTAGCAATTCAGCTAGTTTGGCTAGCAGAGGTTTAACTTGTTTTAGTATTGATAAGAATTATTTTTCAGTCTCAGATAATGAAAAGCCATCTATCCAGAAAAGAAGGAAATCAGTTGGAAACAAACCCAAAGAGTCAGTACATGCACGTACATGAGTTGGGCAAGAGAGAAGCATTTCTTCGAGACTGCCTGGAGCTAGATGTCTGTCTTGTATATGATATTGATTAAAACATTCTTCTCCCATGCTTTTCTTTTTTGATCATTCCAATATATATGCACCTATTTTCAGATATATGTGACTCTACTCTCCCTTTTTGGTCAGTCCATCTTAGAGGTGATACCCGTTCTGGCTTTTCACAAATGCTCTTTCAGTAGGTAAGTGAAACATCCTTTTCAGTAATTGAGTTTCCACTGGCTCCTAAAGGCCTAGGATTTACAGAGATGATGATAAATAAACAGGAACAACTGGGCAACTAACTGCGCCACATGTGTGAGCTTGTTCTTAAACTCAGCTATCAATCAGAAATGCAGCAGTGATTTTACCAGTCACTTAGGAATAAAGCAGAAATATTTGCCCTTTTTTTTCTTTTTCTTTTTCTTTTTTTTAAACCAAACCTGCCTCTCTTGGTTCTGACAAGAATGCTGTCACTAGTTTGGCCATTACCAGAGTCTGAGGACTCACTCCCAAGCCCTAATATATGCTTTCTAGGAGGAATGGGGCCCCACACAAATTCCCAAATGACATACTATGCAGAGTGGAACTCTGCTTCTCCACCAGACAGATCTGCCACCCTCAGCAGGGTAAGTGAAGGGTCCATAATGAAGCTGAGTGCTGCTGATAAATTACCCATAGGGTAACAAAGTACTGGGTATGTATTTTATTAGGTGATGAGCTGAGGAAGGATAACATCTGGATTCACAGTTCATCAGGCTAAATCTGCCAAGTGTTCAATTCAAGTTACAGTGTAGTCGAACAACACCATAACAGTTAAATGGATTCCCATGGCACAGATCCTAATGCAATTTGGAAAATGAAATAGCAATAGTGCAGTGGTGTTCACCTTTGACAGGAAAAGCGGGATGAAGAAAAAAGTCTATCCAAGAGACAACATAGAGTCAACAGCTGTTTTAGAAAGCAAAACAGTGAGCAGCACATATCTCTGGGCTAGAAAAAGCTTAAAACTCTGATCGATGTGCTGCAGCCACAACACAGGTGAACTGTACACTGTGAAAGACCAACCCTTCACTTCATAGCACCATTCACAGGTCCAAGTTAATGGACAGGAGGGATTTTTCACCACACGGACTGAAATAAGAGCTTTAACTACCTTCAAGCATCATACAGTGACTAAGACAGAGGCTGACTGTTGAAAACAGAAACTCCCACATTGCACGCTTTCATACACAATCTGCAGAAGGAGTTTTAACACAATGCACAAACACTTTTGGGCAGCAAGGCATATTCCCAGCTGAGGTAGTAGCAAATAAGCACCCTTGCTTGAGAGGAGCATCACCTTATGTATCCTAATCCAGTTTGGGCAGGATTCCAGGCCACAGTGGGATGTGGTCTTGGAAAATAAAGTGCTTCATGAAACCAGTGCACCCCGAGTGTGTTTGTCTATATAATGCAGTCAGAATGAAAAACAGGCTCCTTAGCACCCCCAGTTTCATTAGCTTTTCCTAATGATTGTGTTGATGAACAATACTCAGAGATGGTCTTAGCTCTAGTTTAACAGAGTTGTATATGCAGATAATCTACATGACTGATGTAATATGAAACCTTCAGAGATTGCCTTACAGCTTGTTTGTAAGAAAAGAAGTTTATAGAAATGTGTGTATTTTATTTATAGACCATTTTATTTTGGAACAAGCATACTGGTTTGGGGAAAGAAAAAAAAAAAAGAAAAAGAAAAAGAAACCACGCTGAGACCTGAGTCTTCTTTCCACACTTTTGAGGTGAGTACAGCTCCCTATTTTGATGACCTTGATTACTACCTCTTTCAGGTTTTACTCACTTCTATTTTACCTAAGCAAGTGCCTCCCCCACTTTCAGGTATCTTTCAGACAATGTTTGGCTCCCAGAACAGTTTTTGCAGTCTGTATACATCATGTTATTTAAGAATGGCTGTGTCTCAGAAGAGACTCTCCTTGCTGCTGAGATCAAACCCATGATTTTTACCCAAAGAAAAAGTACCAACAGTCTTGTAATAATGGTCTTTGTGGATGTGGGATTTAGCTCCACCTTACTGAGCTCTTATCAAGACAGTGAGCTGTATTTGCCTTGTAGAGTGAAAGTCAGTATTTTAAGAAGTTTTATTTCAGTATTTGGTGTTTGCCTGCTGTTTCAGTGGAACTTTATGTTCTGCAGTCACATGCATTTGACAAAAATATGTGAGAAGTACGAATATGATGACAAGGTTGATTCAAGAAAGTAAATAATGCTCAGTTGCAACAGACAGCAGACAGAGGTGATATTCTGCCATTCCTCTGTACTTTGCATGCCCAGTGGTATCCTATTGATGACCTTCTACCAATATGCACATAAAGCTGACAACATGTTTCTGTTTTACTCAAGGGCCAGACATAGACTGACAGAGATTTTATCACATCTGAGGCTTCACATCCAAATATGCTTATTGACAGTATCAGTTTCAGATACCGCAATCATCTCCAAGCTCCTCTGTATGCTCCTGCCCTTATAGGAAAGACACATAATCAAGTTTATTCTCCTTCATTCCCTTCAGGAGAGTAAATCAAGTTTCTCTTGTTCCAGAG